AGAACTAGTAACAATATGGGGTAAAAGCTTAAGTACACGATTCGACGGATGTCCCAATCTACAATGCCATAGCTCAAAATCTGACAGATCCGACTTGTGAACTGCATGCAAAACTGGAACGCCACGGAAAATATAAAGCCCATCTCGCCTTTCACCTGCTCCAATCAGGTTCCTCGAGTGTGGGTCCTGAATAGCACAAAATAAATTAGTGAAAGTAACAGTACATGCCAACTGATCAATCAACTGGAAAATAAAGATGAGGTGACAATTCAATCCAGCCACAAACAGCACACATTCAAGTGTTAAAGATTTAGACAAGTGCACACGTCTGACCATGGTAGCCGCTACTGTCTGTCCATCAGGTAGTCCAACCGGACAAGCCCGAATATGAGTCCGGTTTTTGAGACAGGACGCATCACCCGTTACATGATGAGATGCTCCGGTTTCGAGTATCCAAGGTAAGGAAGAACATGTACCTGACATGCGTTCCCCCGAGCCAGTCTGAAGATTAATCAAATTTAGGAGAGCTTGAACCAGTTCTTTAGTGAGGTTGTTCAACCCGTTTCCCGGAGACACATTTTCGCTGGAAGTCCCGGGCTCGTTGCCACTGCCTGACAGAAGAGCGGGAGACACAGCGTGAGTGCGTACACTGCCTCCACGACCGGTACCGTCACGGACACCATCCCGGTTTCCACTCGTCACTTTATTCTTCCTCTCATCCCACCAATCCGGGTAACCATGGAGCTTAAAACAATTGCCAATTTCATGCCCTTTTTACTTGCAATGGCTGCACAAGAGCTTCATGTGATCTGCCCGGTCCGGGCAATTCTTCGTGACAGCGAACGCTTGGATGTCAACAACGGGAGCTGGCTGTTTGGCGCGGGCAATTGCTCGGGAATTCTCCTCTTGGAGAAAAACCTGATGAGCACGGTTATGGTCCGGGAGAGGGTCGTGCGAGAGCAGATTTGAGCGGACAGTCCCATAAGTTTCGTCGTCAATTCCGATCAAAAATTGGTGAAGTTTCTCCTCCTCCCTATCCGCGGCAAATTTCCCCGCCACACCGCATGTACACAAACCGCATGTACACATATGCAAGGGTTTGAGCCGACTCAACTCGTCAAAGAGGCCCATCAATTTCCGTAAAGTATTCATCCACGGACATCGTTTTCTTCTGCCGGCACTCTGTGATGGATGCCCGCAGCTGCTGAAGACGCGGTCCATTAGCGACGCTGAACCTTTTCTCCAAATACAGCCACAGGGCGCGTGCCTCTTCATGGAACGGGATAGACATCACCACATTGGCCTCCATGCTTCGCAATAGCCAAGAGACCACCATCGAATTGTTAGTCTCCCAGTCCACAATCTTCGCCGCTTCAGTCGGCTTGGTCAAAGTTCCATCCACGAAATAATATTTTCTTCGTGCCTTTAAAGACAAAGCAATAGCGTGAGACCATCCCACGTAATTATCCCCTGTAAAGATCACGTGAATAATTAGATTCCCGGGCTGATCACCAGCTCCGAGATAGTATGGAGAAGTGGGGTCGGCGGCCATGGCGATCAAGGTTTAGACACGCTGGTGTCGTTCCTGATGAAAGCCGAAGAAGATGCCGCAGAGCCCTAGTGAAGCTTTGATACCATGTTAAGACGTGGGGTTCCATCCTAAATGGTCAACCTGATAGGAGGAGTAGCTCATGCCTTAATATAGCACTTTGCTGATTCAAAGTTTTCCGGTGTGGGATTCTAACATCGACGAATGCATGTGTCGACTTGAACCGGTAAAATTAAACATGAATTAATAAATACTCTATGGTTTTATAACTTTTCAAATTGTTCTTTCTATCGAGTTGGCCTTTAATACGAACCTTTTATATGAACTAAAAAACTACTTTACTGTATAATATGATATTTATTTGGATTTAAGATTATGTGCATTTGAAAATATCCTACAATCTTTTGTGTGGTTGTTTAAATTGTTCCAGTTACATGGGTGAACTGTGCTTCTGCTGCCTTGACAATTTTATCCCTGAAAAAGGAGAAATATGATGTGGTTATTGCAAACATCCATTCTCCTGATCTACAAGGGGTTATGCTCCTACGCGAGGCCGTTAGCATGCAATTGCTAGTCATTTGTAAGTTTTCAATATATAGTGTGTGTTAGATTTACTTAAATTAGGGTTGACCCCACACCTTTATGTATAAAGTTAATTAGGATCAAATAAAAAACTATCTTGATGTGTGAAAGTGCCAAATCCACTCCTAACCACCTATATAGTGCACTTGTATGAAATGTTGTTGCACTTTAACCATTTATAAAAGTGCACTTTTGGATGGAATGCAATGACATTTTTATAGATAAGTGGAACTTTTTACAAACTTGTAAAAGTGCACCATATGAACATACAAGTGCACCCTACATAGAGCTGTAAAAGTGATATTTTCACATTTTACACGTTAAGAACTTTTTTATTTTAACTGGCCCCTATATACGAAATATATAAATTGTTTCAAATGAGAACATAATCATATAAGGAGAAAAATGAGAATAACTTTGGAGCATTAGATTTAGGTATTGTCCATTATTGAAATAATAAGGTGTGTTCATATAAGCTTGAAAATGTGCATTTGAATTGCACATTATTTTAACCACAAATATAGATGTACCTACATTTGAACTTTGCATTATTTTAATCATAAAAATGCACTTCCGTGAACTATAATATGCATTGTTTTAGACCGTTCTCATTTCTGACATTGTTGAATGCAGTATTGTCTGACATAGACGATGCCAATATGGCGGCAAGGGCTATAGAGCAGGGAGCTTTCATGCTACTTGCCAAAACAGCAGTCTGTGAAGACACATGGAAGAACTTGTGGCAATATGTAGTGAGGAAAAGGATTACAAGAGCCAAAGAGATGGAGAAAGTTGGGCAAGTAATCCTCAATAATAATGGTGACAATAAGGGGAAGGGATTATTGATGAGAAACGATCATTACTCTCAAGAAAAATTTAATAATAATTATAATATTGATGAGAAGAGTTATAGAATTAGGGGAAAGGGTTCGACCGCCAAGCGAAAACCTTCCACGGAATGGACCGCTGAGCTCCATCAGAAATTCATGGACGCTGTCTATCAGCTAGGAGATGGGAGTACGTACTATACATTTTTCCTTCATTTTATTTATTTATTTTATCTATTCAATTATTACTCCTTTTGAAATAAAAAGATTGGGCAATTTGACTTTTCTTGGTTAATGGTGATTAAGTTTGACCAATTTTTTATTATACAAAATTATTGAAAATATGAAAATTATATGAGCATATTCTTTATTAAAAAATCTTACATAAAAGTATAAAATTTATAAATTGTACAAATTATACGGAGTAATACCTAAAATCGTTGTCTAAAACTTTAACACAAATGATCAAGAAAAGTCAAATTGATCGAACTTTTTGGGATGCGGGAATAAGATATAATTTCTATTTTAGTTATGCCACTCCATAATATATATACATGTATACAATGGCGTTTTCACTGCTTCTTTTTAAATAAAACATTGGAGAATATGACTCGTGCAACAACCATTCTTACCTCTATTCTTAAACAATTGCAACATTACAAATTTTACACGACTATTCGCGTGCTCTAGGTTGACTACAATTGAATTTAATTTTTTAAATACTCCGTATTAAATTTCTTTCATTTTAAATTTTGAAAAAGTATTTTTTCAACTTTTTTACACAGAGAATTAAATATATGATAGCAAAATTGTGCATTGTTAAGCGTGAAAATGAAAATGTTGCAATTAAAGGAGAATAGATGAAGTGTATCATCTTATTTGTAGTGTTATCGATTTATTAAACTGATTGTAGTTTGTGCTCTTGAATTTTTTAACATTTTACTAATTAATTTAGTCAACCAATTCTTTAACATTAAGGAGGTGTTTACTTCGATACTAAAGTCACAGTTAGCTTAGTAAGACAGATGAAGTAAACATGCACGCTGCTTACTAACCGAAGTAGGTGTTTAAAGTGTCGCTTACTAAACATACCACCCTCATGAATTAATTAAACAACACTTTAAACTTTTTCAGTTTCCGAATTTACTCTTACCCTTACCCCTTGCCCTTGCCCTATTGTTACCCTTCTACCTGCTACCCTCTACCCACCCTACCCCTACCCTACCCACCACCCATCACCCCTTACCCCTACCCTACCCCTTGAGCAATACCCACCCCCCGCGTCAATGACCCTACCCCACCTCTATCTCGACCCCACCCTACCGCCATCCCACCCCCCACCCTATCCTACCCCACTGCCCTACCCTACCCCCTACCACATGCCCCTACTTGGGCCCCACCCCGATCCTGCCCCTACTTAAGCCCTAACCTTTACCCTACCCTACTTAAGCCCTAACCTTTACCCTACCCTACCTTACCCTGACCCCCCCCTCTGCCCACTACCCTCACCCCTTACCCTAACCACGACCTTACCCCACCCCCTACCACTTACCCCTACCTCAGCATGATCCTGACCCCACCCTACCGCCATCCTAGCCCCACCCCTCTACCCTTGCCCTTACCACCCTACCCCACCCCCAACCATAACCCCACCCCGACCCCGACCCCCACCACCTTCCCCTACCTCGACCCCACCCTACCCCATCACACCCACCCTACCCTCGACCATAACCCCACCCGTACCCTCTTACCTACCCCGACCCTACCCCGTTATCCCATACCACCTGCCCTTACATCGACCCTACCCCGACCTCACCCCTACGACTAGGGTAGTTGTTAGGGGTATGGGTGGGTATGAAGGGTTGTAGGGGCGTAGGGGTAGAGGGTAAGGTCGTGGTAAGGGTAGGGGTCAAGGGGTGGAATTGGGGGTAGGGTGTAGGGTGGGGGTACGGGGGGTATTAGGGTGGGGTAGGGGTAGGGGTATACGTACGTGGTGACCCCACATATTATATTATATAGTTGTGTTCATGAATGTTTGTGTGTCTAGATATGTATAGGGATTTAAACGGTGTTTTAAACCCTTTGAAGTAAACATGATCTTACAACATTGCTTACTTTATACATCGCTTATTAACGCGGGTCTTAATAAGCACTGCTTAGTAACTCGTGAAGTAATCTTGTCCTAAATGGATGTTTATATACTGTTCTGGATTTTGTTTTTAAAGTTCACCGTTTAGTGGATTCAACATGCCACGAGGTATTGTTAAATATGTGTACGAATTAATTACAATTGGATGCATATATATGAATTAGAGTGTTATCCAAAAGAAATACTTGAGCTGATGAATGTTCGTGGCCTCACAAGAATGCAAGTAGCTAGCCATCTCCAGGTACGTACGTAATTTGTAAGGGTAATTTGAGTTTGCGCTCCATATTATTGTCTAAATTGAACTTTGCACTCCGTTTTTAAAAATCTTTATTTTTGCACTTCAACCTCATATGAAAAGACAAAAATGCTCTAAATCAAAAATATGTTGAAGGTGAATTGTTGGTGCAATTTTTTTAAGAATAAGCTAAAACAAAAATGACTCATAACCAACATCAATTTACAGTCGAATACAGATCGTGGTTCATTCCCCATATCGAGGAACATATTACACATCCCCTATTAGAAAATACAACAAAGATAATACAAAAAGAACAACAAAGATCATGTGCATCTTTCTCTAGGAATGTGATGATAAAATTTAGTTGCCAAAATTGCACTTCCAAAACAAGTCTTCAATTGGAGTTTCCCTACTTACTCCTTAATTTCTGTGCACTTATAGAGTTATTGTCATTGCTTAAAAGAATGCTTTTCTACTTCGTGTTTTACAAAAGTTAAAAGTGTGTTTTCAACTAGTTTTTCTATTTAAATTTACGTAATTCGAAGCTAAAAGTAATAAGCAGCCAGATGAGTGCTTAAAATGACAATTTACTTCTTCTATTAAGTTTTATCTGACTAATACACTAAAAATTATTTTCATCAAAAAAAAATATGGGATGCAAAGTCAATTTTACATGAAAATTTGGATGTTCTCGCACTTTTTCAAAATTTGTGATATTTTAATTATTTTTTCCTATGCAATTATACTATGTTCATTTTGATCAATTGATTTCATCATTTTTGCTGGTAAATTGCCAACAGAAATGCCGCAACGACGACTGGAGAGTCCCGGAGGAGCGAAAACTTCCGACTACCAGTTTCTCTACTGCCGCCGGCTCTGTGCAAAAAAGCCAGACCCGAAGATTCGGCGCAATGCCGCGCCTCGCCGGAAGCAGTCTCCGGCACGGGAGCCCTACTCGCCAACACCAAGAGAACACCAAATCGGCGGAAAGTCCCTCATCGCCGTCGATAAACGGCGTCATGGGAGTTGAATCTTCTCATCAGCCCCTCCAAAGCAGCCAATATCTCACAGTCCGAAGCCCCGGCCCGTCTTCTCCTCAGAGCGTCGCCCAGCCCGTCCGCTCCGCCGACGGAACTGCCGGCAAATCCCAAATTGTCGGGTCCATCAATTACAGATCCGGGGATCTAAGAGTTAATTCCCGTGAAATGGATGTTCGATCTGCTGACGGGAATAATTGTGGTGTTTTTAATAGTCTTATTAGGAATTTTCCGATTGGTGAGAAATACGGCTTCTCTGATGATCCTCGCAACATCTCTGCCGGAATCGATTGTTACGCAACCACGACCCATCCGCCGCCTCTGTACCACCGGAGAGTTATTTCAGATGAGGTATTTGGCTTGCCTAATTTGGATCGTCAATATCCGTTTCAGTGCTTCTCCGACCATTATGCGCGGCTTGGCGGGGATCAGGCCGAATCTTCCTCTCGCTTTGACACAGGATTCAACGTGCGCCAGGTCAGTAAAATTGTTTTCAACCATGCTACTTACGGTATAATTTTAATAAACAGAAATGTCTGTGATTTCGGACAATTCATTTTGGGGGTTTCTTCTCTTTATTAAAATCAAAATCAATTGCATAGACAATTACACTTATACAAAATAATTAACATCAAAATTCCAATAAATTGATAATAGTTTCACAAACTATCGAATTTGCATTTATATGTTTTTTAGTTTTGGAGAACCTAGGTATATATGTTGAGTTTTTAAATTTGGGTTTCTTTATTTGCTCTAGTATTTCAAATGCTACTAGTTTCATCTGCTTAAATAACACCTTTAAAGTTTAAGTTAAAAGCTAGAAAAAAGTGGAGGGATATTTTAAACTATTTTTCACTTCAAAACATTTTTTTACTTGGTAGTATTAACTTTTACTTTTCTAAACCGTTTTGTGTATGATGTAAGTCATGTAAAGGTGTTAATGTGGTATGGGTTTTTTACCCTAATTAGGGGTGAAACATAGCATAAGGGCTGTGCCTTGTTAGAGGCCGGTGAGGCAAAGGCCTCAGGGCCCCAAAAATATTGAAAATTAAGGGTCCATAATTCAAAATATCTTCCTATTATTTACATGTATTTAAATTATAAAAGATGTGCCTTGCTTTAAATTCTATGTGTTGTTGTGCTTTAAAACTAAAATAGACGATCAAGTACCAACAAAGTGAAGCGGAACGACTGAACATAAGTTTTGACTTTTGAAACTGTAAAGATAGAAAGGTTATGCACAATGAAAAAGTTTTTTTCACAATGAAAAAAAAAATTGTCTTAATCGGAGTGCTGAAATTGCTCCAAGGGTGATTTCTGATGCCATTGATTGATCCATAGCTTTTTTATCTTTGCAACTTGATTGATCCATGCTTAGAAAATCCAGCTTGTGTTTAATTTGGCATATTTAAAAGAATTGAGATGCACAATTAAACAAGTTCAGTTTTTTTACATTTAAATTTAAATTTTAAGTAGGTTATGCACTCGTATTTACTAACATGTCAGTATGTATTATTTAGCACATTTGTTTAACTAATATTAGTTTCAACGTTTGTTTGACATTTTGTGAATTAGTTATGTTATCAATTGACAAGTAATTTATTGAGCACTTTGATTAATTTATATTTTGCAACTAATATTGTTTGAGGGGTTATACTTAATTAGTTATTTTAAATACATTTGGTAATGTTATATTGTACTCCGTATGTAGTATTATGTAAAATATTTATTTTATTCATTACTTTTTGATGTTTTATCTTTAACTTCAAAACAAATTATACTACATATTTACATAAAATTCTAATTTATAATCTTTCAAAAATATTGTACTCCCTCTGTCCCGAAAAGGTTGGTCGAAGTTGACTTTCACGTGGATTAATAAAGTAAAAATTGTGTGGTTGAAATTTGTGCAGATGAGAGAGAATTAATGTTAGTCACATATTTCTTATTTTAAGTAGAAATGACAAATCCTTTTGGGATATCCCAAGAAGAAAATTTGGCCAACCTTTTGGTACGGAGGGAGTAATTTATAGGGGCCTTTTTAGGTATCTCGACTCAGGCCCAAACTTGGGTAGGATCGTCAATGATAGCATTTTCCCCAAAATAGGACCACTTAGTTTAAACATTTTTAAATGGGGCTTTTTATGTGTGATTGGACCAAAGTATCCCTATTTCTGCCCTGGACTGCTGCCAACTGCCTGCCTCCGACCACCTGCTGCCGCCGCCGGAAAATTTTCCAGAATTTTTTCTGGATGTTTCCCAGCGTTTCTGCCTCCGGCCTCCGCCGCCGGAATCTGCTGCCGCCGCCACCGGACTGCCCCGCTACCAACAGACTGCCTTGGTTGTGCAAGATAACTAGGGTGCAATTAATTGGGTTATTTAATTGCCGGAGTTCGCCGCCGCCGTCGGAATCTGCCGCAAACCGGCTGCCGGAGTTCTGCCGCCACCAACGGACTGCCTTGGTTGTGCAAGGAAACTAGGGGGAGCAATTATTTAGACCAATTAATTAATTAAATAGAATTAGGGATAAAAAAGGTAATGTCAGTCTTATTTAGTGAAAACCAAACATCAAGTCCTATTTTGGGGAAAAACCTCTGTGTTTGTCTTCGCAATAGCAATTTTCTCGATCAATGTGGTATACTGGTATACATAAAAATCGAATGAACACCTTTCCTAAAGTTAAATATCCATTGTATTATTATCTTATGAATGAATAAGCTTAACTTCTTGAACATGATTTGAAAAAAAAAAATCTCTGTTATTATTCTGATACAGCTGAAAAAGCAATAGGTTAAAATTCTGACGTTTTGTAGAAGGAAGGTATGGTCCAGTGTCCCAAGGTGATGAAGATTCCTATGGCAATTCCTTTAGCATATGAGGACATGCATGCATCAGCCTGCTGGAACCGAAGATGATAATTTCATTACCTTACTTTCAGTTTCAAGTGGAGCTACTCTCATCCACATTCCATCCAACATAGCTAGTTACAATTACGTTATTGTATTGTAGTAATAGACTTGATTCGTATCTTTATTTTGAAAAAAAACAGCGTTATGAACGTGTTTACTTCTAGGATTCGTTGTTTTCACTTTCTAGTTTTATTGTCTTTTGTGTTAAAGTTTACGTCTATGTTTTCCAAAAATCGAGTAGTCTGGAATTCAAAAGAAAATTCACAGGGATTTTCAAATATCACACATGGATGATCGTTGGAGGTTGAAATCCCATCCGCGGTTTAACCGGAACCGCCGGTTTTTTATCCGAACGGCATAGTATACTTCCGGTTTGGAACTGGAGGTTCACTAGTCCGTTCAGTTCTTCAAAAATTTGGAACCAGAACCGGCGATTCCAGGGCGGAACCGGACGGTTCCGGTTTGGAACCTGATTTTTATTCTAAAAAAACTAAATAAATAAATAAATAAATAAATAATAAATAAATAAATAAATAAATAAATAAATAAATAAATAAATAAATAAATAAATAAATAAATAAATAAATAAATAAATAAATAAATAAATAAATAAATAAAACTAATAATAATCATAAAGACAATAATGATAGCTATAATAATTTAATTTCATTAAAAGTAGTTATAATACTAATAATAATAAAAGATTATAATACTTCAAATATATAATTTTTAGTAAGTACTATTTATAATACTAAAATATTACTGCGTACAAATTATAGTTATAAGAATACATAAATTTTATATTAGTAAAATACTTCAAAACAATTACTCGTATTATACTTGGTTTAGTTAGATATAGAAATAATAATTATTAATTATATTAATATCTTTTGGAACTCTTTTTTTCGAATTGTCTTATTACACACTCCATTTTTAAAAATTAAATTGAATTTTAAATGTAAAAAAATTGAAAACCGAACCAGATTGGAACCGGAACCGCCGGTTTTGGAAGTGGTAGTGTGCGGTTCCATTTCCAGTTGGAAACGCGGGCAGGTCTAGATAGGCATGGCCTCGGGCCGGTTCGGGCCTGGGCCCGGCCGGTTCACGGTTCAGGATATGGGAGGCCCGGAACCGGCCCGGGTAACCCCCGGGTCTGGTTCGGGTCGGGCCTCGGTCCAATCTAATTTTTTTTGGCTTCTCCTAATTAACTCCCAACCTCCCCCCTCACCCCCAAACCACCTCAAATGACCCAAAATACCCAACCCAACCCAAAAACTTAAAAAAAAATCACAAAAAAAAAATAAATTTGGCCCGGACCTGGCCCGAACTGGCCAGGCCGGTTCACCATTCCTAGGGCCCGAGCCCGAACCGTATGACTAGCGGGTCGGGTCGACCCGAACCGCCCTATGGCCCGGTTCCCGGGCCGGGCCGGTTCAAACAGTGACCGGTCCGGGTCGGTTCCAGGGCGGGCCGCCCGGCCCGAGTCCATCCCTAGGTCTAGATCCCAAGTCCAAGAGCGACCTTACCTGTATTGTCGGAAAAAACATGTGCATTTAGATCCCGGTTTTCGATCAGCCCAGTTTTGGTTTTTTAGCATGCTTATAAAAAGTCAGAACTGGACTTCACCTATTTTAGAGGAAAATAGGAAATGAGTTTGACCGATTCTGTTACCAAATCTTGAAACAAGCTGCAGATATGGACCTGCCTGGTCCTTGTACTATTCCAAAATAGGGATAATGTCTACTCCACACCCGGTGTTCGGTGACCCGGTTAACACCACTGGTAGATGACAGCAGTTTCTTAAGACATTGATCGCAGACTCTGCAGGTTTGGATTTTGACAGGTTTGGGTTTGAAGTTTGAACTAGGCTTGGAGGCGGGTCGGTCCTGGTTCTAAATAGGGATGGACTCAACCGGGCCGGCCCGGCCCGGAACCGGCCCGGCCCGCCACTGTGCAGGCCCGGCCCGGAACCGGGACTGGTGAACCGGTTCGGGCTTTGACCCGGCCCGGGGGGGTTTGGCGGTTCGGGTCCGGTTCATTTGTTTGGTGGCCCGGCCCGGCCGGTTCGGGCCCGGGTCGGGCCTAACGGTTACATTTTAAAAAAAAAAAAAAATTTGTTTTTCAGCCAAACAGGCCTTATGGCCGTTGGCTTTCAACCCAAACGGCTCTATAGCCGTTGGGAGCCTTCCAGGGGGTCCCGGGTTGGGGGGTGGGGGGGTGGGGGGTGGGGGTGGGGTACTAAATATCTATAAATACTCCATTTTTTCTATACACTTTACTACACATCTTCTCCAAATATCTCTACTCTCTAAATCTCTAATCTCTATTCTCTACTAATCTTTCCCATCTTCATCTTTTCAATTTCTCAAATTTATTACTACGTATATTATATTTATATAATTTATTATCTACTTATATTAATATCTAATTATTATATTATTGTTACTTATATAAGTATATTTATTTACTTATATTCACATATTACATATACTTAATATATACTTATATTAGTTATACATATATTAAAGTATAATATATAAGTGTATTACTCAACTTATAGTAATATACTTATATATTAAAGTATAATATATAAGTGTGTTAGTCATCTTGTAGTAATATTAACATAATATTATCTACTTATTATCTACTTATAAATATATATTTACTACATATATAAGTGTGTTAGTCATCTTGTTAGTCATCTTATATTATATATACTATCAACATAATATTATCTACTTATTAATTTTGTTTACAGACTAATACATTCTTCATTAATATAAAAGTTGTTAATTGTTTCACTTATCATTTTAGACTTTTAGTATTAGTTCATTGCTATAAAAGTGGTTAATTGGTAGTTGTTAGTTTATTGGAAATAGTTACATTAAAAATTGTTAGACAAGAATTCGAAATTAATTGTTTACTTGTTAAACTAGTTAATTGTTACATTTCTTAATCTCCTCTAATACTAGTTAATTGTTACATTTATTATTCTCCTATCAAACATTCCCATTAATTTTGTTTACACACTAATACATTCTTCATTAATATAAAAGTTGTTAATTGTTTCACTTATCATTTTAGACTTTTAGTATTAGTTCATTGCTATAAAAGTGGTTAATTGGTAGTTGTTAGTTTATTGGAAATAGTTACATTAAAAATTGTTAGACAAGAATTCGAAATTAATTGTTTACTTGTTAAACTAGTTAATTGTTACATTTATTATTCTCCTATCAAACTAGTTAATTGTTAATTATATTATAGTTGTTCGAAAATTTATCTACTTAATATATTAAGTGTATTCCTCATCTTATAGTCATATATTTATATTATATATACTATAAACATAATATTATATATTACTAGTTAATCTACTTATTATCTACTTTTAAATATATATATATTTACTATATCTACTTATACACTTAATATAAAAGTAGTTAAATTTCTCCTATCAAAATAGTTAATTCATTGTTACATTTATTATTCTCCTCTAAATTTCATTGCATTGTTACATTTAATGTCTAGTTAAAATTTCTCCTATTGAACTAGTTAATTGTTATTTATATTGAAGTTGTTCAAATTTTATAATAAAAGTTAATTTAATTGGTACATTTTAATTGTTACATTCTAGTCAATTTAATTGTTCGAATTTAATTGTTACATTGTAGTTCGATTTGTTAGATTTGTATTTGAAATTCACTAGTTTAATTGTACTTCGAATTTAATATTTGTTATATTTTTAAGATGGAACGTGGTAGAGCTTCAGTAGATATGGGTAACCTCCGCCGCAACCGAACAAAGGAGATTGCGAGGAATCATCCAAGCTTGCACAAAGGTAAGGGACGGGCCGGGGCTTCATCTCAAACCCGAGATGATTTTGATGCGGATTATAACCAAAGATATGGGTCTGCGATGTCCGATGAGCAAGTAGAACAACTATTACGACAAAATCAAGGGGCCTTCTTCCATCAACAAAACATCCCGACCATTGACGAAGAAGAGCTCGAGGATGATGATGCGGAGGAGAGGGATCCGCAAACGGTCGAGCACGAGGTTCATGGCACACCGTACGATGATGAAGAGCAAGCGGAAGTGGCTACTTCTTCCCAAGGCGGTGAGAAAGCTGAATCAGTCTTTAAGGCAAATTTTACAAAATTTAAAGACCCCCAAACCGAGATATGGTACGCCACTTGCAAGCATTGCCCAAAGAAGTATAACTTGGGAACTTCTGGAGGGTACGGGAGCGCCACAAGGCATCTTAAGGCCAAGCACCCGGCGGAATATGCGAAATCAGACAAAGGCAAGGGAAAGCAAACACAAATTTCAAGATTTGGAAGTGGCCAACCCTTCGGTAATTTCTCCTATGATGATCAAAGACATTTGACTGGTATGTCGCATTTGATTGTTGAAGAAAATTTGCCTTTTATTTTTTCCGAAAGTCTTGCATTAAAAGAATATGCTCAAGGTACTTTAAATCCTCAATTTCGAAACTATAGTCGCAAAACAATTAAAAAAGAAGTTATAAGGCAATATGTTTTGGAAAAGGAAAAATTACAAATATTTTTCGCAAACTTTGATGGCCGTGTTAGCATATGTAGTGATATATGGGAGGATACTCATCATCATTTATATTATTTGGGTTTGACTGCACATTATATTGATGATGATTGGTGTATGCATAAACGTGTTCTTGCTTTTCGTGAATTTAATGATCGACACACCGGCGATAATATTTATATTCTCATTGAGCGTATTTTAATTGAGTATAATTTGATTGATAAGGTGTTTGCTATTGGTTTTGATAATGCTACTAATAATACTGCGGCTATTCCTAGATTGCGTGAATTGTGTGGTTCATCTTCTTTGATGGGTAGGTTTTTTCATCAGCGTTGTGCATGTCATATTTTAAATTTATGTGTAAAGGACGGTCTAGCGGCGTTGGGAGATGCTTTGGAGGTGGTCAAGGGGGGATTAAACTGATTTGGGCTAGTAATCCACTTAAGATGCAATGGAGAAATTATTTGAAAGAAAGACGTGTCAAATATTGTGCTTTTCCTAAAGATTTGTCTATTCGTTGGAATAGTACTTATAATTTAATTAAAGTGCTTATTAGATATAAAAACCATTTTCCCGCTTTTTTAAGAGAATATGCTAACTATATTATAAACCCGGCCGATATCGACACTTGTGAAAAAATTGTGAATGTTTTGGTGTTTTTTAATAATGCCACTGAAACTTTTAGTCATGTTTATAAACCTACCGCAAACCAATTTTTTGTTGAAGCTGTTAATCTCACCGGCGCTTTTTCTGAATTCTCTGACGCCGCTTACGTTAGTTATTTTTGTGACTTCATGAAACAAAAGTTTTTAAAATATTATTCCTATATTCCGCATATATATGGTATTGCATTTATTCTTGATCCTCGTTTTAGACTTGCTTCTTTGGAGAAATGTTTAGATTACTATTATGCTTCTTTTTTTGGTCCATTGCCTATGTACGACGACAAGGCCATAGACCCTAAACAACAATTCCAAGAGGTTAGTAATTTATTATATCAATTATTTAATGAGTTTCATGCACAATATGGTAACGCACCCCCTCCCCCGCCACGAACATCTTCTTCATCTAAAGGAAAATCAATTTTCAAATCTGCATTTGGCAATCTTATGAAAAAAAGTAAATCATCTCCGGTTAATGAACAAAGCTCGATCAACGAGCTTTCTTTGTATCTAACATTTCCTGTTGATTATGAAGAAGGGGATGACTTTGACGTTCTTCAGTGGTGGAAGGAAAAAGAGAGAACGTTCCCGATCTTATCAAAGATGACTAAGCAAGTGCTAGCAATGCCGGTATCAACAGTTGCTGTGGAACAAGAGTTTAGTGCGGCCGGTAACGTCCTAACGGATTATAGAACGAGATTAAGCGCAAACTCTCTTGAGACGCTTGTTTGCTTCCACGATTGGTTGAAGGCCAAACGTAGAACTCAAGAAATCAGCATTGAACCCACTCGCCACTTTATGGAAGAAACAACTGAAGATGGAGGAAATTCTAATTGATTCATACTTCATTACTTATTATAAAGTGTATTTCATGTTTTTATTTTTGCTCAATTTTCAATTGTACTACAAATATCAAATAAATATGTTTTACCCTTTTTTATGTCCAAGTAATATTAATTTAATTTTGGTATCAAAAAAAAAAAAAAATTTAAAGCCCGGGCCCGGCCCGGCCCGGCCCGGACCCGACCGGGTCGACCCGGCACGAACCGGACCCGGTATCACCCCGGGCCGGTTCCGGGCCCAACAATCCCCAAAAAAAGCCCGCCCGGGCCCGGCCCGGAACCGGAACCGGCCCGGCCCGGGTCCATCCCTAGTTCTAAATAATTGAAGCCCGGTAGCAACCCGATTTGGTCCGGTACAGATTCCGTTCCGGGTTCAAACAGTACCAGTCCCGGGTCCATACCCATCCATTTAATTAAAAATTTAAATAAAAAAACCAACTGTTTGGGCCGGACCAAGCCCAAACCCAAACACCGGCAATCTCAATCCAGAACCACCCTTGCTTTGTTTGACATCTTTGTAGAAGGTCCAAAAAATGACATTTATACCATATGCAGTCCATGATGATCCTTATAATTTCTATTTGTGCGAGTCTGCATTCTGCAAAAATCCCAAATGTCTGCATATTTGGGAATTTGCATCACATCGTATCAAGGGCTTGCAATTCCTCGTCATACTATGGCAAATTTATCACCATTCGGTCTAATTGTAATTACTAACAAAAATACAGAGGTAGCAAGGTACAAAAAACAGAGCGATTATTCTGCATTGTACTTCACAGTTCACACAATAATAACGAATTTGAAAGGGAAAATTGATATATATTCTGCACCTATATATATAAATACACACGCACATTTATTTATATATATAAATAAAACAACGGCAAATAACTCCCCTATCAGCACAGCCAGCTACTTTGCTAGTGAAAACAATCAGCACTAAGCAGTGCAAGAGACTTCTATGCTAACTTGGCCAAGATAACCATGTCCAATATTTTGACATCGAGAGTATCATCTACCTTAACAATTCCATCAGTGCCATCCACACCAATAAGCTTCCCGCTAGCCCCCCGATGAGCGCCGCCCATAATTTTGATTTTGTCTGACTTCTTTGGAACGATGATATCAATCTCGCTTGGGGCAGCAATGATTAATTCCCCGTTACCACTTGAACCAAGGGCAACACTACAGGAACCATCCTGGGCCAAAAGAAAAATACAGGTCTCAGGCCGTATAAGAGAAACAGACTCAGAAGTCAGAACCAAGTCTAAACTTTAGGCATTCCGTAAATCATGAATTGTAGTTTTATTTTTGAAATTACACTTGTAGATTCAGTAAATCATGAGTTGTAGTTTCTATAATTCTAACTTTTAGGCATTCTACAATAATAATCCCTACTCAGAATGTCCACAAGTATAATATGAACTAACAATGATGTGCATAAGAATAAATTGGGGTAAATTCAAATTAATGCCAGTTTAATACTCTCAATCCTTATTCCCACTTTTCTCTTCTCCACTCTTCTTGGGGCAAACTCAAACCCGTTTAATCTCAACACCACAATGTCCATATGGGTCTTATCTAGGTTGGAACATCTAGTGTTAACCGAGCCGAAGAGTGGTGAAGGGAAAGTGGAGGTAGGGGTTAGGAGTACAACATGGCTATTAGTTTGAATTCAATCGATTTATTGTTGTGGACACTATTGCTAGTATGAATTATTTTTATGGACACTCTCAATAGGGATTATTAGGGAAAACTACCAAATAGGCCCTCGAACTTACATAAAAGGTGCAAATCACCCCTTATATAGGAGGCTCTATCCGGCCGTCGCCATTTGGGGCGGTTCCTGGTAGAATGTTTTGATGAATTTTTTTAAGCATCTTATTCATTAAGTCTACTTTATTCATACCAAATTTCAGCTAAAACTTCAACCGGAAAAGTAGTCAAATGATTTTCTGAAATATACTGATTTGTTTGACTGCGCAGTTCTCTTCAAAAATTCATTTGACTGCCTTCCCGATTGAATTTTTAGCTGAAATTTGGTATGAGTAATCTAGACTTCATGAATAAAATGCTCAAAAAAATTCCACCGGGAACCACCCCAAATGTCAACGGCTGGACACAGCCTCCTATATAAGGGGTGATTTGCACTTTTTATGTAAGTTTGAGGGGTTATTTGGTAGTTCTCCCGGATTATTATTATATTATCCATAAAAGCAGGGATTATTCTTGTGAATTTCGCCTTAAAAATTTGTGTTGTTTAAATATGTTTATCATATTGAGATGCCTATGAAGAAAAATTATATCGCTTGATCAACAGTACACTTATTTAAACAAAGAAAAAAATGCTTGATACATGACAGGTGGAAAAGACAAATTTGATTTTGAGACTGCATTAATGTAGTAGTCATTGACATATTTCCACAATAACTACTACGTAAACATTATCTAGCAATACATACCGCGTGAATTTCTCGAATTACCCCCGCAAGATTCTCTTCCCCAGCTCTCCGTATGTTTACAGCAATATCAGGCAAAAACCAAGGCCCATCACCTTCTCCACCTGAAATTTAAATTGCATAAGCATCAAGACAAACTCGACAATTCAGCATCTACTTCCATTTGTTGTTTGTTGGTAAAGAAAACTATTCGGTTCAATTGAAGAGGAAAGAGTAAAGTAACTTAATAGGGGGCTGAGGGGCAAAGCTTTAGCCATTATACCTAAGAAGAGTTGACGAACTAACTAGGGGAGGGTGAATCTTTAGCCATTCTATCTAACTTTGAAATGGTAATTAGATAGGTCACACCAATTTAGACTAACTACTACCTCCGTCCCACTAAAATGGGGGACATAAGGAGGTGGTGCGTTTATTAAGAAAAGTGGGTTAATGTGGTTGATAGTGAATTGATAAAGTAAGAACAAAGTAAGAATGATTTAAAACCATGCATATGTTACCAAATTTGGTATGTGGCAATCTTAGGACGGACCAAAAAAGAAAGATGGGACAATCTTAGTGGGATAGAGGGAGTAAGAAACATATTTATTTTTGCAACTTTCCTAGACCACTAGTACTATTGTCAGACTGATATGTAATTGAGGTACAAGTTAGAAATTAAGTAAATTGGGAAGTAGACGCACAAGCTTAATTGTTTACGTGATCTTGAATGTTGTTTGTGTAAAATAGTAAGCTCAGACAGAAACGTCACCACATACCTACTACAGGTGACATCATATCCAGACTGCCACCCCCAGGAGTCATTGGTTGCCCACCAGGAGTTCCAGGCAAGTATGCAGAACTTGGGGTCATCGGTGGCGGCCCACCAGGAGTTGATGGTAAGTAAGGGCTTGGAACATTAGCTACATTCAAATAACGAAAACAAATCAATAACATCAAAATAAAAGGAGTCGAGGAAAAATGTGTATTGTACAAGAGTTAGAGATCAGGTTATCAAGTAAAAAATCCAACTTGTCAGTTGCATCATCAACTTTTTAGTTCAATTACCGTATGATGAACTATTATCTCTTGGAGTTCCAGCATCACTATAACTGCCTGTGGAGGAGTTGTTCCAGCCAGAACCAGGAGTGGGTGCTTCATATTGTCTTGAATGAGGGCTTGGAGGCTTAAAATAGAAAAACTCAAATCAATACTATATTCATTGAAATCTTCTCTGAAACACAGTCAAAACGAAAATACTTGCTTGCGGACCTGATACTGAGGACTAGATCCCCAGGAAGCTGGATTGCCATCTTCCCAATTGTCCCTAGGCACATATAAATTCATATTGTTGGATTTGGGTTTCAAATCGTTTAGCACTTCATTATTAAATGAACTAAGAAACTTGTGTTATGCAGAGAATCAGATTTCACAAACTTGTTCTTTGGGCATGAAGCACTTTTTTGTTTTCTGTGTGCATGTATGTATATACCAGATATATAAGAGTAGAAAGATGTTTTCACATGCAGTTCAGTTGAACTAAAATATAAGTGTTGAGTCAACGTACCCAATGAGATCATAGATAACAACATAAACATTTCAGTAATATGTTGAAGTCGCAGCCATTCAAACAAAATAAGATTGTGCAAGAGGCTTACATCGATCATAAATGATTTTTTTGGCTATATAAAGTTTTCTCGAACTCAACATAAAGAAGTGCATCTTTCATTTCAAGATAAAGTACAGATATGTCAATAGTTTTTTATTAGGACTGAGCATGAGACAAGACAACTTTTTTACAGAACATGCTCCATCCTAAACTTCGGTTCTTTAGAAGCTGCAAGAGCCAGTACCACCCAATAAATGAATAGCACATCCAGTTTTAAAGACAATCCCTCAATGCTATCTGGTCCTCTTTAAAAAATTATAAAAGAATGAAGTTACAAATAAAACATTGATTAATCGCAGTTTATTTGAATTCTGCGATTCCTAAGGCTTTCATGAGCTGACTTACAATGAAATTATATTGTTTCAACTTTTACGTACTGTCGTACTCTTACTCGAGGAAATTACCATATATAACTACCACATCTTACAACGATAAGCTAGTATGTAAATTCCGTGGGGAATAGGAATCAGTTCCTTCTTAAGTTAATGAAATGGTTGTTGAGTTAGTTTAAACGATTAATTTTTATGCACTTCACACTTTACTCCTTTAGTGAAGTTAATTCAGGAATTATGATGTGAGTGTCTCCTATTAGAGTCTTATCGTCATTATTATTATCATTATTATTATAGTCTTATTATTATTAATGGTTAGTAGTTGCTTCCTATTATTATTAATATTGTTATTTCTTTGTTTAGTTTAATCAGTTTCTTATTGGCCTTTAACATTGTTCTTATTAGGATGAAGGATCTTGAAATATCTATACAAGGGACCTCAGTATTTATTAATAAACTACTTTTTGGAGAATTGATTCTGGTGCGTCTTAACTAAGTCAAACACCTACTACTTCAATATTAAGCATAGTTTCATTTGGTTCTCACACCCAAGACCTTATCCTATTCTTTGTTCTAAATCATAAACAAGATCCCAATGCTTGTAACAAATTAGTCCTATCATCCTATGTCGGTATCTAGAAATCAAAATTTAAATAGAGTACAATCTGATGTGGAAAATTAGATGCACAGGAGCACACCTAATGACCTAACATAAAAATGGGACTATCTTTCGGTGACGAACTAAAATTGAAGACATGTCTGAGTCTATCTTTATGGGGGAAACGGAAGTATGTAAGAATAAGCACATATTGTTACAATCTAAAATCATTTAAAAATAGTCAAGTTCTTAGGAGCATGGATAGAAATGCTAATGGTATGGTTTCGGTGCGGTTATATTACTTAAGAGTCAGCATCGTACATTATCTTCAAATCTATGATATGGTGTGGAATGGAACTAAAACATTTTGGTTCTTTTGGTTCCAGTACAGTTTGGAAGGATCTTTGGTACAGGTTGGAAGAGTATAGATCCATGCTCAACCCAGTTTTTTAGAGAGAACCAGTAGCAAAATGAATAAAGGAATTGAACCAATACCAGCAAAAGCTCACAGAGACCATGCCAATCGTCAAATACACGTAAACAAAAAGTATTCACATTTAGCCAGAGAAAACAGTTTAATACTAATCCCTCCGTCCCATTTTACATATCTTACTTTTCTTTTTGACTTGTCCCGAAATAAGCGTCATATTTTCTTTTTTGAAAAGCATTTCACTTTAGTATACTCAAATGTCAATCACAACTTTTAGTATTTAAGCACTTTATTAATAGTTGTGCCAAATCAAATCAGACACGTAAAATGGGACAGAGGTAGTACATGTTCATAGACCATAACTATGTGGATTTAATGATGAGCTCATGAGTTAAGTACCAAAGTTTTCTTTTACGCAAGGACTGTTCAGTTTCTACCTGGGTGGGCTCATTGGATTCCATGCTCTGTCACGCATTGGTGTCCTCATGCCGTCATGTATAGGTGTTGCTATAGAAAAAAAAAATAAGAAAAGTAAGTTAAATAGCACATTGCATGATAGAGCGTCATGTTCCATGATACCAATCCTGTAACTGATATGGGACATGATCATAACAGGATTAACAGCTACCCTCAACTCATCATTGTCTCATTATATTTGTCCTGTTCCTAAGTAAAAAGATTGAGACATGAAGGGTATCTGGCATAAAACATTGTTACTGCACTTTTTGAATGAACTTATAGTGTTAACTAATCTTACATTTTTACACAATTAATAGACACTACAAATTCAATATCATCAACCCAACATAATTGGGGTAAAGGTGGTAGTGGTGATGAGAAAATGCCATAATAGAGCATTAAAACCAGAGCTGACAAATAGAAACCACCTCCAGGATCTCTCATGGGGGTCATGGATGGCAGTGGAGTTCGTGGAGGGTGTGATGGGGTTTCACTTCCAAACGAATATCTTGATGGTTCCCTAGAAAAAAGGCAGAAATTTAATTCTGATCATCATCATAAAATGGAATCAAACACTACTAAAAGCATATATACCTGAAAGGTGTTCTCACATTTATATTGTCCATAATATAATCACGCTCAACTGCAAATATCTTATAGTACATCAGCACATGCATAGGGTTAACAAAAATCTGTGGATAACTTTTACGACAGCAGGAACATGCCTGTGACAACTTTCATCTGAGCTTCCAATTCCACTCGAACCGAAGTTCCTTTCAAATCAACAACCCGACCTTTGCAACCTTTGAATGGCCCAAGGCGAATTTTTACATCGGTGCCAATTAAAGCATCATGACCTCCTCTTCCACCATGTCTTCCTCCGACTAAAGAGCATCCAAGTTTAGATGTTAAGCAAGTAAAGTTGTTGGGTGTAAATAAGAAACACAAATAACAGTTACATCATGACAGTAATGATGCAGTTGCTAGTGATGTCAAAAGGGAAATAAGGAAAACCAATAACTGGAACATATAGACCAAATACTACATAAATGCTGAAGACATACAGCTTCTTGGAGAACCACCCCTGTGTGATCTTATCGGAGATTGTGGAGCAAGAGGTGGGGTTCTAAGATGTCCAAACCTTGATGAAAAGGGGGCAACCTAAATTAATTAATATGATGTCAGTCTCATAATAGTTACACATGGATGCAAGAAAATCATTGCAATTACAATATTTATTTAATATTAATTATTGATTCCATAATCAAGACCATAAGGTGCCTACTCTTTTATCACCATTTGCCTGTGATCCCCCAACCAAGACACAAGATTGCACTTTGGCACATATAAAGCCAGCATGCTCGAGGTGATGACTGGAGTAGATGAATAAAATTCCTCTATATATGTGTTCCACAGGACCTTGCTTTCCCTATGGAATGGACGAGATTGAAGATGTGAGAACCACAATTATCCAACTAATTCAACAACAAGCTTATTAAGAAATAACACACACCTTGCAAGGTCCCTCAAGAACTTTGACAACATCTTTCACTGCTAATGTATTGTTAAACCGATCATGAGCACTCCATTTCTTGTCAACCTTCCCTCTTATCTCCCTTAGCCTGACAAGTGCTACCTCGGCTTTTTCCGGAACCCCCTTCAGAACCTACGTAATAATATGAAACTGTAAACATAACACACACACATATACAACAGTCAACTTGATATAAAAAATACTTTTTTGACCTGGAAAGCTTCACTCTCTACACGTATAATTACACCAAAACTCCTATTGCTGCATGAGATTTCGTATAAAAAAGATTAATTAACAATTCATGAAAGGCAGAATTTTAAACTATTGGGAGAGAAGAGAGGAAAGGGCAACACAATGCTTACGCTAGTAGCACAAGGTCATGGAGCTCATAGTCTCCGATTCGAGTGGCACCAGATGTTACTTCAGAGCTTTCCACAACAGTGTCCGCAAATACACGGATCTGCAGATAGCATACATTTTGTAATGCAAAATGTATTACAAAAGAGAAGTGCAATGCTAAAAATTAAGGATGAAACAAAGAACTGTTTTATCATTTTTCTTTTGGTTGATAAAGTTTTAAATAAGGGTGACTTACAACTTACTTAGTGGATAGCATACATGAATGCAAAATGTATTACAAAAGAGAAGTGCAATGCTAAAAATTAAGAATGAAACAAAGAACTGTTTTATCATTTTGCCTTTCGTTGATGAAGTTTTAAATAAGGGTGACTTACAAGTTCCTTAGTAGTATCAGACACTAAGTTCACCACATGCCCCTCAACTGAGACTACCATACCAGTTGCGCCTTCAGATGCACCAGATACAACTTTTACATGATTTCCAGGTTCAAAGTACTTGCAAAGCTCTTTGTCACCAACTGCTAGAGTTTTCTGTCAGAAGTTCAAAATCAAAGCAATATTGTAATCAGTTGTTTATCGACACTCAATAAAGCGTTGATTGAAATAGAAGTTCCGAATATTCAAAGAGTAGGTAAAGCTCAATATTCTTACAGGAAGGTTTTTTTCATTTGGTCGAATGTGAACAGTATTTTCCTCTACTTTTTCAACCCATCCTTGTAAGTTCTTCAAATCCCCTTTTATAACAATGACACGATCACCCTTCATAAAGTGACCTTTCTTCCTATTCGCAAACAGTGTTGACATACTAGCCATGTCACCATCTCCGCTCTCACCGGGTTGACGAAATTTCTCAAGTTCATCAAAACTTGGGTGAATATTATGAGAGCTAATTGATTTCATAGCTACTGTTTTATAATAAAATCCGTCTTTGAACATCATGCCCCCGATATGGTCAAAACGTTCACCAGTCATTTGATTTCTCTTACCATCAACAGGTATATTCATCTCTCTGAAGAAAAAATGACAAACATATCAATGAAATAAAATTAGCACCCAATAGCTTATTTTTCAAACTCAAAGACGGGGGGAAACCAAATTACTTAGCCTCATCTATGTTCATCAAACGTGGAGGAGGAACGAATGCTTTTTTCTTAGGAACTTCCCTTCCATCCTACATAACAAATGAAATCCATAATCAATACAGAAGGAGAAGGAGATAGCTCTTTCTTTAACGCACCAAACAATGACAGACAGAACAAAAGTAGCAAATGCAGCGCACAATCACACATACCAATTTGTTCGAAAGAGCATGCAAGTCAACCCTTGGAATTAACTTCACTGTAACTTTTTGTCTTACATTATCTACATCTACAACCTGGAGAAAACTTAAACATCAGAAATACACTCATGAAGTCACATTTCAAAAAAAAATGATAGAAATAATCACCTTTGCAAGGTCCCCTTTATAATGTCCTGTCTTCATTCTGACCCACGTGTCCCTTGCAAGATCAACTGCTTTGCTTTCAACCGAAAGGACATCAGTCATTTCTTTGATAGGAACAAGCATTATTTTTGCTGGATATATATTGCGCATGCCCTTGCAAGCCTGTAACAGGAACAAGGGGGGTAATATGATCGGTAACTTTAAGAGAATTTCAAAGATTATTTCGCAAATCAAAACATTTCATAGGTGTAAGGTGCTGCATAATGCATATGTGCCAGCATACCTCCCTCACGTGAGCTTCTTTGTCTGCTTCAATGTATATAAAGTTACTTAGATGATCAAGTGCTACAACAGATCTTATTTGCAATTCCGGTCCCCTATCAATACACTTCTGCATGAGACAGACAGCCACCTCCCTCTCACGACCAATCTACAAAGCAAAAGACATAAAGTATAAGGAAAGTCTATTTGAAATGATGAAATACAAGATCCAAGACTTACCGCACATTTCACCATCCATAACTTGGGATCTCTGACAGATGGCAAAAGAGCTTGCTGCTCTACATCAGTTGCCTCCTCATCATACTCCACATGACTTGACCTTGCATATCTAGCCTGGATGTTCCGTTCAAGTGCCTCGAAGTCTTCATCTTGGTCCTCCTGTGATAAAATTGGGCGGCGATGAATCTGTCTTGAATCATATCCGTCACGAACCTCAGAATCATTATCCACTATGAAGCCTGTGCATTCATGAATATCATTGGCATCAATAGAAGAGAATTCCAAGTTCACTATTACCATCAACACACGAGAAACTTTAAGATCTACAGGGTAAACTTCATTAAATAATACTCCTTGGTTCTTTAGGGCATGCTTGGTAAATTTCAAGGAACAGGACTATATTTAATTGAAAGAGGAATGGGTTGCATACCCCCAACTGCCATAGCTGCATTCCCTTAATCAGTGCAGCTTTAGAGGGGGGGGTCTCAAAAAAAATATTGCTTGACAATTTCTTGAGGGCATCGTGTGCCCCTTTTCCAATACCAGTATACCACTATTGCCCTTTTCCTTCTTTAAATAATCCAGAGTATTAAATAATCCAGGGTATTTTATGTATCTTTAATACATTGGTAAGACCGCAAGGGGTAATCTAGCCATATTCCGGCATACTTATACAGAGTCCAGAAGCTTCACAGTTTCCATAACTCTCCTTCTGACAAAATAAGAAATAAGGTCCCTCGTTTGACTTGGTACACTTACTAAGAAAACTCACATTATATTATTGAGATTAATATAGAGGAAAACGAAGTCATATGAACCACACATGTATTTCCTTGAATGGAAACAGTATCATCGTTTGGGGATGGATAAAAAGGAAACTTTTTTAGGATGTAGTGACTGATAAATGTTAGATGTTAACTTATGATGATATAGCTTATTTTATTTTCCAGTGCAGAAACATAACCAGCATGATACTGGCTCATCCGAACAGAAAAAACATACAAATGTAAAACTGAATTTCTAACTAAAGACCTGAAATTACTGCCATCCAAGTATCCTACACCTATTCAAACACACAAGCATAAACAGAAGGTCAAAGCAGTACAGAGATGGGTTTACGCGAATCTATCTACAACAGAGTAAGTAAAACCACACATAAACTAGTCATTGGGACTAATAAAAATGAACGCTGTATGTAAGAAGCCCTTTCCCATTGGCAACCTCAACCACGCTGATATAATTCAGTTGGGAGCAGAAACCTCTTAACGGCTTACTGCAATTCAATAATATAAGGCTTCTTAATGTATTGGTTCATTAAAAGCTATAATTGAATATCTTTGATATATTACTGTTTGCCTAGTTAAAGGAGACAATCAAACAAAGTAAAGTGCTAAAAACCAAGTTGATTCCATCCCCTCTTTAACATTACAAGTTTCAACATTACAAAACCATAAAACAACATTCTTTAACATTTTGATTCCATCCCCTCTTTGAGAGTATATCACCTCTCATGCTCACATAAACCAACATTATGAAATGCATCTACTAAAGAAACGTAACATGAGAACCTAACAGAAAAGGGTGGAACGCTTTCCAATAAAAAAACGACTTTCCCATTTTGAAATCACTCTAAATTGTGACAGTAAGGTACACCAGGGGGCAATTACCGTAACTTCTAGGATATTTGAGATTAAACGACTACTGGGGATTATTAGATGGTCAAGGTTACAAAGCTCTAGGGTTTTCAGTTGTTCATTCGTGCGGCACTCATCCATTCTGAACCTTAGTATTCAGTAAAGTATAAGCATTTATTAATCCACACACAAATATTGGAAATATGATGCTCCAGCAGATGATAGTTAGAACATTGAGCACGTTTATGTGATAACCAAGCATGAAACCGTAGAAATCAAGTCCTTAAAGCAAACAATTGTTAATATTGACAGAAAAGTTCTAACCGTCTTCTTCATCTTCTTCCTCTTCCTCCTCATCGGTATCCACTAAGGCCTCGTCATCTATAAAATGAGATGTCGAAACCCTCTTCTTGTTGCGGTTCCTGCCTCTAAAGTCGTCGTCCTCATCCTCCTCTTCCTCGTCGTCTTCTTCAGCCACATCATCTATAAAATCAGATCTTGTCCTCTTCCTCCCAGACTTTCCGCTGCCGTTATACTCCTCTTCCTCTTCCTCCTCGTAATCGTCCTCAGGGTCCAGTTCCTCCTCTGCATCACGCCTTCTCGGCATGGCTGATCTGCTAGAAGACCAGAATCTATCGGCAATTCAAAACACAACTACGCTACCCGTTTCCGAAATCAGAGAAAGGGGCTCGACTTTAGTTCCGCTTGATCAAAACTTGGTGTGATGAATTTGTTCGAAATCGCAAGGGAGAGGTAAAAACACTTCGCGAGACCCTTGGCTTATATAAAGGGTTGCAGATTGTCCAAGGTTTATAAACTTGCATTCATAACACATTGTTAATGGATTGGATATAGGCGTTAGTTATTTACAATTAGGTCCAGATCAAATCTAATAAACTCAATCACATCTAAATATCTAATACTGTATAAAATTTACAATATTGTATATTTTAAGCCAATCAAATATTGTATATTTTCTCAAATACTCCAAATCAAATCTAATCTAATACGGAGTACTTCGTAAATTGAATAGACAAAAACCCAATCACAAGTATAATAAATGATTGCCAAAAATTGAAAATTGCCAATATGATACTTGGTAGTTGTTCAGAGTTTTATTTTGGTTTTCAATCCTAAAAACAAATTTAATAAACCGAATTATTCAAAATATGTTATCTTTTTATTAACCATCAAGTATATACTACTCCGTATTAACTATGATGTTTTCTTTAGTTCTTAATGCCTGATTTTAAAAAAATAATGTTAGGTGCTAGGACTATTAGGATCTTTATTATAAGATATTGATATGTGATATTCATGATTTAATCAATTGAAATTCTTGTATCCATCCATACAAGCTTTACAAATAAAAATTTAACTTTCCGCTATACTATACGTGACTACGTGTTTCATGTACATAAACTTATGTGTTTAATATTTTAAAGAATGTTTAAAGAGATGTGATATCTAATTTATTACTTGGAGATACATTTGTTGCTTGGAAGTACATTACTCCCTCCGTCCCTTATAACTTTGACAACTTTCCTTTTTTGGATGTCCCATTAACTTTGCCACTTTCCCATTTAAGTAAAGAATTTGTGGTTCCAGTTAATTCTCTCTCCTCTGCACAAACCTCAACCACACAGTTTTTACTTTATTAATCCCCGTGACAGTCAAACTTGGCAAAGTTATTAGGGACGGAGGGAGTATGTTTTATTAGTGTTTTGTATTATATTTTCGCCATTCATTATTGTATCATAAAGTTTTTTTGTTTTGCCATTTCTATGTTATTAATCAAAAGAAATTAATATTTTAATCTAGAAAACTTGAAATTGAACCAGAATAAATTGAATCAACCAACTCGTGATTTCAAATTGTTAAAAGCCAAAACTGAATTGATTAGAACTTTTACTTTGTTTCAGCATTTGATTTTAGGTCAAAATTGAAGGATTGAATCGAACTCACTCCTAGAAGATAAACCATTCTTACGCGCACAATTATTCTCAGCGTTTCGATTAAAAGGCACATTGATTCTTACTAACCCTAAACGCTAGATAAAATGGTTTGTATACTTTTATATATTTGTTCTATAATTCTTATTGCAAAGTTTTCATTACTTCTACATTTTTAAAATTTTATATTACTTGGTATGAGCTTATATGTGATTCATAAAAAATATACACTACAACAAATTTGACATTGTGTAACACATTGTTTGTAACATTTTTATTTTTGTTACATACTAGAATTTCACCCGTGCGATGCACGGTAAAACAAATCAAAGTGTGAATCACTTTGTGGATTACAATACCCATGCATTGTGGGGATGATTAGATTCTAGTAGTGATAAATAATTCCCGGAGTAGAACAGAGTTAGATCAATAGTAATCAAAGTGAGATGTAGTTAAATAGAAATCAAAGTATTTGTAAATGTTAGGAAGAGCGCCATCCTCCCGTGAAACAATAGAGATATTCACTAAGTGAATAGTAAAACTTCACTTTTGGGACAAAGGTGTACATCACAATTAATAAATGGGAAAGAAGTACTAAATACTAAAACTATTTTTTTTATCAATAGCGTGTTCAAGCCATTCACATAAAATTGAATTCACAGACTGATAAATTTGCACAATAGCCAAATTCTCAGTCTTCGCAACACAACTCCGTGAAATCCAAAATTTAGGTTTTGTGACTGTCTTTACTGCATGAATTAGACATTCTTCAGTCCGATAGTACTTTATCACCAATTTTGCTTCTTTATGCCTTCATACGAAGATAAATACGGAGTATTACATATCATATAATGAAACAAAATAATTAAATATTACGGCAGTATAAAGTATACAACACTCTACTCTCCACACCTCCTCACACCAATAAATTCTTTGGATATTAAACACCACCATAGGATTCACCCATACACTTTTCATCTAACGAATAGTTTTAACATATATGAATTAATATAGTTCTTTTAATTTGTATATGTATGTTTCGATGTAGCTCACGGTTCATTTAATGCAAATTACTTAATGCAACGAAAGATAATTATTACTTCAGTCTAAATCAGTTTCTACTTTTATTTTATTTTATGCCATATATTCATTTTAACTTTCTAAGACATAAATTTGTTGTTAAACAATTGAAAGATAAATATTTTAAAAACTGATAGGTATGCTAAAAACAGCTTTGTAGAGTTCTTTTATCAAATCTGCTATCAATAATGGAAGAAATTCCAATCAAATTTCGTATCACTCACTTAAATAAATATTTACATCGTAGTATTTTGTATTACTACATAAAATATATCTCGTCACGCTTCACCAATTTTCAACTTAGTTGTTGCCAAACCTAAGGTAATATCTTTTTCTTATAAAAATATGCTCTAAAGACTTGTGAGCAACCCCCCATTTATTTATGGGTATATATTGCAGTACCCATGATATATCTGACACAATTATTTTTTAGAACCTTGAACTTAATGTTGAATCAAGAAACTTGACAATGTTAAATGTCACATCACCTTTACCTTGAGTGTTGCATATATTAACGTAAATGTTGCATAAAGATTTACTTAATTTTCATTTCATTTCATTTTCATTTACCACAGTGCTGCAAAGGCTCCCACCTACGGTGGGGAGAAAGATTTACTTAATATGTTACATAAATATAATAAAAGTGTTGCCTAAAATTGAGTTCTAAGTGTTGCATTTTATTCAAAAAAAATTGCCTAAAGAGTAGTACTCCGTACTAAATAGTGTTGCATTTGAGGTCTTTATGCAACACATATGCTGATTGTTGTTTAAGATGATGATAAGTGTTGCATATAACTTTATGCAACGAGACCTGAAGTAACGCTCGTCAAAGTGTTGCTTTAGTCATAATGTAACACTTTAGCTATGTAATGCACTAATGCAACATTTTTCATTTGTTACAAAAAGCCTATTTTGTTGTAGTGATATGTATCTAGCAATGGAGAACTAGAGACTTAGTTTCCAAGGTTTAGGGTTTTACGGCCACCTTGACATGTGTCTAAGCTTATCACTATGACATTTTCACTTCTTTGTTTTAGGTAGGTGAATGATATGGGGTCATTTCCAAGAATGATGCATGAGAGAGCGAAGGGCTTGCACAATGACGTGCAATTTGCATAGGTTGGGACAATTATTGTTACTATAAAAGGCAACAAAGTTCCCCGCTTTGTGGTTGTGTGAAGGGAGAGACTATTGGTGGTATCTATCTAGTCTTACACCTATTTATTTAGATTTTATTGTGAAGACGATATGCATCATATTTTGAAACATTGGCATTGTTTTCCAATAAGATACTGCTAGTGTTGCGTGCATGGTCGCATCAAAACTTGTTAGTGTTGTGCGCATTGTGTGCAAAAGATTTGTCGCCTAAAGTATAGTTTGACTAATAAATTTTTGGTTGGGGTCCAAGTTTAAAATCTCCCCAATTGTGCTTATGAGTATAGAAAAAGACATACAAGACTTTGTTGGCGATACGTTTTGTTCATATAGATGAGTATCTATTTGGTGTTACTCGAGGGCATGCTCAAAGATACAAGTTACTATTGATCTTGAAAAACGTAACCCTGAAGGAACGTACTGACTACTGACCACACAAGGAGTGTTGTGATTGGTTTTAGGTGTATTTTGATATGTATGTGAAAGACTGTCGAGTTGTGGAGTTATTGTTGGGCATGCCAGTAGATTCTGCCTGCAAAGGTTGTGGAAAGACGGGGGGTGAAGGCCTATGGGCAGGACTGGAGCCAGGACACTGGGCCAAGCTGGGTCAGTACAAAGAATACTTTTGAAAAAAAATTACACGCAATTTTTTACACTAAAAATATAAACATTTTTAAAATTTGGGTTGGGCCAGAGCTGACCCTCCCCTAGCTACGCCCCTGCCTATGGGTCATGGATGACGACAAGAAGTGTAAGGGGGATTGGGCACAAATGACAAATGTTTGGTCAATGGGAGGAAGTATGTAGTGGGTGAGCAAAACAAAGGGCAAATGCAAGCAAGAGGATGCGGTGAGGAAAAGGGGGATATATAGCCAGTGACGATGGAGACAGGGAGGGGTACTGTGTGTTTGGAACAAACAAGGGAAAGGGAAAAGGCTCGTGCTGGAACAAAGGGCTCGTGCTTGGAGACAGTCGCTGGTGGTGGGCTTATATACTAAGGGTGAGCACAAATTTATTGGGCAAGCAAAAATACAGGAGGAAGACGAAACATATGATGGTTTAGGCACATGTTGGAATGGATATTGAGCTAGCAGTTCAAAAAATACAGGAGGAAGACGAAACATATGGTGGTTTCCCACCAACCCCCTTTCCTTCCGTCTGCATTCTCTTCTTCAACCAGGAGCCTACGCCAATTCAACTGTCAACGTAGAATACCTTTTGCCTCATCAACATAGAGTACCCATTCGCCTCACCAAGAAGTTGGCGATGACGTGTTAAATGATTTCGAATTGGAAGAATTTTGATCGCTGGCACCATTGTGCAGCCTGACCAACATACATTAGCCGACCTCCCAACAATGGTTGATAAATAATTGTATGAGGGGAAATCAGGCAAGTATTAACCAGAATTAGTGCATATTATTTTATTATTATGATGATGATAATAATCTTTATCACTCGAAAGGGGTAATATGTGTTTCTTTAGCACTGTAACCATGAGTCTTTTGTCACAAATGGTTATTAGCAGTCAAGGAAAAGGTAAGAGGGAGGTGCAGAAAGAAAAAGGCATAAAAAGAGATGCTTTTAAGGCTGCCCTGACCAGTTATGATGATTCTTTGTATGTTCTACTTCATTCGTCCCGCAAAATAATTCTCGATTTCCTTT